CCTGTGCTCCCAGTAATGCCCTGGGCTGTGCCCTGCACACCCAGAATGCGCCTGGGCTGCCCCCGACACCCCTGGGTGTGTCCCAGGATGTGCCACATGTCCTGGGATGTGTGCTGGGATGAGACCCAGGATGTGTCTTGACCCACACAATGTGCCAGGGACTGATGCAGCAGCCCTTGGGCTCCCTGCCAGGGTAGGAGGACCCTGGTGAGGGCTTGGAGGGGTCACAGCCAAGGGGACACAGAATTTGGGACACAGAAATTGGGACACATCACAGGACACACACAGCAGAGCCCGGTGAGATCCTGGGGGTCATGGGGCCATGTGACACTGTGATGGTCACTCTGCAGCCAGTGCCAGCCTCAGCATCACCCCTGGGCCTGCAAAGTCCAGGGCTATGTGGCCATTAATCACATCCAAGAATAGCCAAGCCACTGTGGGCATGAGAATCTGTGTCATTCTCAGGGTTGTTTGTCTTTCATCAGCCCCACCCCCCCAAACACAGAAACACAGCAAATATTTGTCAGGGCAGGCTGAAGTGGTGGCCCTTGGGCTGGGGACCATGGTGGGCTCTGGATCCTCGCAGAAGGCTCTGCTTTCCTGCACTACATCAGCTTTCTCCAGCAGGTTTCTTGGTGCCCGTGGTTCCATTTGAGAGATGGAGGATCTGCTCTGACCCATGGAGAGCAACTCCTGCTGTGGCAGCTTTGGCCAGGAACCATGAGCAGCAGCCAGCAAGGAGAGCATTCCAGAGAGCCCCAGCACCACGGGGAAGCAGAGGAGGAAGAGGAAGCACAGAAGTGGAGCTGTCCATTAGGGGCCCCTAGGATGTATTTTCACTGGGATCACCAGGCAAGGAGATTCCACAGGGCTCCTGAGGGTGCTGATTAGGTGAGGGTGTTAATTATTGGGGGAGCAGCATGGTTCCTGATGGGGAAGGGGAAAGGGGAGGGAAGGGGAGAGAGGGAGAGCCAAGGGGGAAAAAGGGCCAAGAGAGAACCTGGTCTTCCTCCCACAGCTTAACAGGGAGATTAAAAGTGGGTGTGGAATAAAACTGGGGTCAATGGGGTTACAGACACCTGATACTGCAGGGCAGGGTCACAGGCTTAGAATAAACCTTAATGTACATTTTGGGAGGGTGAGACAGAGCAAGCCATTGAACTAAAATGTAACTCCACACACAAGTGCCATTATTTTGTGTTCCCTTTGGCCAAAGGAGCTGCTAAAGGGCAGGGTGTCATGGCCAGTGGGGACAGCACCTGGGGACAGCACCTGGCTGCCCTGGCATGGCTGGGCCCTTGCCCTGGGCACTGCAGCAGTGTCCCAGTGCCACGGGCTGAGGTGTGATAGGAGCAGCCACATCAGCTGATGGCGATTGTGCCTGGCTATAAAGCACCTGCTGGCCCTGAGGCACAGCCACAGCGAGCCCACCATGGCCAAGGCGCTGCCTGCCTGCCTGCTGCTGGCCCTGCTGCTCCTGCCCCCAGCCCTGCTGGCACCGCAGGAGCGAGGGCTCATTTTCAACCTGGTAAGGGGATCCAGCCCTGGGCCTGGCAGGAGGCTCCCACTGCTGCAGGGGACACGCACGGAGGGGTGGAGGTGTCTGTGAGGGAGCTTGGAGCCTGGGAAATCAGCTCTATAAAGGGGTGGGGAACACAGAAAGTGGAGCAGACAAACTCTCAGCTGCTTGAGCCAGGCAGGACCCCCAGCCTGGATGGTTCACAGGGCCTGGGGAGGGGAAATGCTGTGTTCACAGGGGTCTGAGGGAAGAGATGAGGATTTGACTCCATGTTTCAGAAGGCTTGATTTATTATTTTATTGTATATATTACATTAAAACTATACTAAAAGAAGAGAAGAAAGTATTTCATCATAAGGCTAGCTAAGAATAGAATAAGAAGGAAAGATAACAAAGGTTTGTGGCTTGGACTCTCTGTCCGAGCCAGCTGCGCTGTGATTGGCCATTAATTAGAAACAACCGACATGAGACCAATCCCAGATGCACCTGTTGCATCCCACAGCAGCAGATAACCATTGTTTGCATTTTGTTCCTGAGGCCTCCCAGCTTCTCAGGAGGAAAAATCCTAAAGAAAGGATTTTTCATAAAAGATGTGTGCGACACTGTGGTGTCTCAGCCCTCCTGTGAGTCCAGCAGCAAAAACACTTTGAGGGGGCATTTTGGGCCAGACTGAGGAAGTGCTGCAGAGCAGGAGGTTGAGGCAGGGGGGCAGTGCAGCTGAGCCTCAGCCAACAGGCAGAGCTGGTGTTCAACACCACCCAAACCCCTGGGCTCACAGCTAGGGTGAGATTGAAGGGGAACAAAGAGGGATGTGGTGCTCAGGCTCTCTTTGTGCTGCAGGACACGGGGGAGCTGTGCCTGCAGAGTGCCCAGTGCAAGAGCGGCTGCTGCCACCGAACCGACGGCCTCAGCCTGGCCCGCTGCGCCCCGAAGGCAGCTGAGACCCAGGAGTGCTCCCCAAAGGTAGGTGCCCCCTGCTCCCAGGGCTGGGCAGGCGTGGGGAATGTCCCACACACTGCACTGAGCCCTTGTTCCCTGCAGAGCCTCTATGGGGTCTACTACAAGTGTCCCTGTGAGAGCGGCTTGACCTGCGAGACCGACAGAACCATCGTGGGCTCCATCACCAACACCGACTTTGGCATCTGCATGGACCCCCATGAGTCCAGAAGGTGATGAAGGAAGAGCCCCCCGTGCCCCTCTGTGCTGCCCCTGCCTTTCCCCCTCTCCTGTGCCTAGCTGTGGGAGAATCTGAATAAAGACCAGCTTCTGCCGAGCTGCACGGTGGAGTTTTCACTCTAACCTGGTGTGAAGTTCACCAAACCTGGCCCAGGACAGGGACAGCAGCGCCAGGCAGTCCCTGAAGAAGCCACCAGGACATGATGGCTTTACCTGTGTGTGTGTGCAATCATGCAACAATCTGGGCTAGGCCAGCAGCAGGACATGGGCTGAGCTCTGCTCCAGGTGAGTTTTAAAAAGGGGGTGCAGGGAAGGGGGAGATGCAGCAGCCCCAGGGTCTGAGGTTGTGCTGGCCTTGGTTTATTCCCTGCCGTGGCACAGGGTGAGGAGGAGGAGGCAGCTGTCTGGCAGAGCTGTGGAAGCAGCAGGAGATGGGGGGATCATCAGTGAGGGTGTTCTTGGCTCCTCCAGCGCAGAATTCACCCCATGTTTCTCCATCCCTGGGGATCACAAGAACCAGGCACCCCCAGTGCCACTGCCCACTGCCCCAGGGCTCTGCACCAGCTGGGGAGGCCACAAAGGCTGAGGGCACCCCCTGGCAGCCGAGGAGGTGCTGCAGGAAACTTCATTTTCAGGACAAGGCTGACTGGCAGCTTGAGGATGTGCACCTGCAGGAACACCAGGGACGCCTCTGGGAGGGTGGCACAGCTTGGGGGAGCCCCCATTATTGAAGGGGAACATGGGGGGCAATATGGGCACCAGTCTGGCTCAGAGGGGCTGCAAGAGGAGAAAATTCTGAGCTGGGTTTTAAACTTGTGGCGGGTGGTTAAAATCTGGAGGGTCTTGTTCTCGTGGCAGGAGAGCCCACCAGAGCAATGTCCTCAGTGGGGCAAGGGGCAGCTGGGGACAGGGATGGGGACAGCAAACCTTCTCCTGCAGCAGCCAGCCGGCCCAGGGGACACAGGACAGGGGTCTCTCCCTGGATCCCCATCTCTGCGGGGTCCCCACAGCACTGGGAGCACCCGGAGGGGATGGGACAGGCACCGGGGAG